AACACCACGCCATTTTGTTCTTTGTTTAGATGATAATTTAAGAAGAGCTGTTAAAAACAATCTCAAATAGCAAATTCATGGTTCCAGTTGTTGCCTACTCGTTTCCTCTCGCAATTTTTTATTCAACAAATGATAAAGACTCGGAGCACCTGATTCCCATTGCATTGTATACAAATAAATAGCAGCTGATTCATCTTCTGTGAGACCGTCCTTGAATGTCCGGCACCCTTGTTTTGCTTTTTCAACTTTCAATTGAATATCAGACATGAGTAATTCGAGTTGTTGAACAGCAATATCTAACGGAAGAGGAGGCGTATTTTGATGGCCATCAATGGAGAACGTAGACCTTCTTAGTTGCAAATTTTCGATGTCAAAATAACGATCATTTCTTCGTCGAATTTCGCCATTATGTGTATGGTGAACTAATGACTGTTTATCATACACCTGTTGCTGTTTCAGTAGAATTTGGTAACCATCGAAACTTTGAAACCGGCGAAACTTTGGAAAAACTTTAAAATTTTAATATGTCGAGAACAGAACGAACTCAAAAGCTGAAACTTTTTGTGGATGTTAGGTGAAATATGAAAAGCCAAGGAGAAAAACGATTTTGGCTCTGAACTCCTTTCTGAAACAAGTTACGAAAGTTTTAATATTTTCTGTATTTGAATTGGAAAAAACCGAAAAACTTTCACTGGAGGCATTCAGAAAAAAAGTATTTCGCGCTATTCAAAGCTCAAAATTATGACATTCTTGAAACAAAAGTTGTTCAAAACAGTCTGGGCTATAAGTGTGTACCATCTTAGTTGATTTTGAGTACTTGAACATACATCAGTCTACTTTCTAATGTTGAACAATACGATCAACCATTTTTACACAAATGCAGCCTAATTTTGAGGCTCGAATTCATTCTACAGTTTTTCCCAACGATCGAGAATTCTACATATCAATAGAGGATTTGTCACTCTTAAGTCTATCCTTAGAACACACTTATCTACATAACATAAAAAGACTAACTATAGAAAGTTTCATCTTTACTTCAAACAGTATATTGTATGCCAGGTGGGCACAGAATACACTGTTCTATTGATATGTAGAATTCTCGATCGTTGGGTGAAACTGCAGAATGAATTCGATCCTCAAAATTAGGCTGCATTTGTGTAAGACCTAATTCAACTTGTCGCATATAGATCGTGTGTGGCATTCCATGAAGATTAGTCATATGTTTGAAGACAAGAAATGTTGAATGGGGTAAAAATAATACCTCATCTTCGTGGTCATAGTTGGAAAAGTATTGAATGCGACGACCCGTAAGTTAATAAATTTTGAATTGAGTATTACGATTTTCGAAATCACCACCTTGAGCAACATCTTTGCCTCGTTTCGAACTACTAAACTGGAGCCATGAGATCAAAGCACCAGGTGTGTAAAGTTCCAGTTCGTCATCTGTGAGTTGGCAAGCCCGCGTAATACTAATCGTAGTTTTGACTCAACAGAGAAAGACATTACGTCACAATTCTGTACTTTATAGTGACTAACTTCATAATAATGCATGGTTTGATCTTCAGAAGTGGGCACCCACCCTCAGACTAGTGAAGCTCATTCACAGTGAAGAGAGACATTAGTCACAATTCTCCGATTAAATATGCGAGATTTTTGTGCGATTTTGAAGAATAAATATATATTTACTTAAATAACTCGCATATTTAATCGGAGAATTGTGGCTAATGTCTTTCTCCACTGTAAATGAGTTTGACTAATAAGAGAATGGATTTTATAGCTCTTTATCAGTCAGATGTTTCCTCCAGAAAGCTTTGGAGCATAAGAACCGTTTTTACCTTTCTCACATAATCTCTGTAATTTCACCAAAAAATTTACATCCAGGCCACTGACTTTTTCTCTCGCCAAGGCCAATATTGTGAAATATTTTGATAATAGCGATAAGTTTCATTAGAAGATAATATTATGTGCTATTTCTGTTATTTGTTCAATGTTTTAATGCGGACACGAACCAAGATTAAACAAGCGTTTATCTAAATGTTGGTACTTTTATTTTTTTGGAACGTTTCCACTAGCATTCGTAAAAAAGTGCTGCAACATTCCAAGATAAGAACACATTTAGGATCTATTTTGGATAAAAAAGGACTTAATCTCAGGATTCTAGTGTCAGATGTTTTCTCTGTAAAGCATAGTGTAGATCTGAATTTTTTGAAAATTCGCAGTTTTTGAAAATGTCTACCTGAGTAGTTAGAACTGATTTTTGTTGAGTCATCTTAATGTACATTTTGATTTCATAGCGGTGCACCGTTACTGACTAATGAATTTCATAACGTAAGGAAATCTGTTCTGTTTTCTCTTACCACTCAATAACTTTTAAATCGATAAAAAAATTTTCTATTCATTCATTTACTTTACTTCTTTTTCTTTACTGTTATTGTACACACCTTTAACACTATTCTTGTGCACAAATTGTTTATATATAAACATCGAGCCATGTTGAGATTTGCATACTGCGTGATCACGGTCTTTTTAGGGGATTTCTAGAAGCCTACTTTCTAATTTCGCTTCAGTTTCACTGTTTTTCAAATTTAAATTTTATTTTGAACTTTTTAGGACTGATATCGTTTAAAATCAATTAAAAGCAATATTTTAGTACTAGAGATACTTCTTTCCGCTATATAAACGATATG